GGATGGATGGATGGATGGATGGATGGATGGATGGATGGATGGATGGACCGTGAAACGTTCCGATTAAAGCAAACTTTTCGGGGTTAGGACTTTGAAACGTTCATTGTAAAGAAAATCTTTTAGGGCTAGGACATTCAGATTTAATCACTTTTGAGATCTCTTAAAATTGATACCTGTCTGGTGTATCAAATCATTGAATGTTATTTGACTTTAATTTACATTCATAGGTCTGGACAGATGCCACAGGACTGTTCTTCTTGGAACTATTAAAGACTTTAAAAACCTTGTTCTCGCCTCTTGATATCTACACATTGTTGATACAACAAATAATTCTCTGGTTACTACGTGGATTTGCTTGTAGCTGACATTCAGGAGAAATGAGATGAATGTTGACTCAAAAGACCTCATTTATCAATTCCACCCTCTATTAAAATGCTGAAATGCTCTATGTGCATTTAGCTAGTAAAATAACAATGCACAGCAGTTCCTACACTCAAAGCTTTAGGCTGATGGATGTTTATGATAAATTTCATTAGAATTTCATTTGGGATTTTTTTTTTTCTTAGTGAAAATAAGAAAGCAGCTACATTACATAGTGTTTGGCAGGAAACGGCTCAGAATGGCTTTGCTCTGAGCACGTCCAGCTGCAGTCTTCCAGGTGCTGGCAGGAACATTACCAGACCAGACACTTGCCAACTGGAAGCTGAGATTCTTTCTTTAATCTTGCCACCAACCGACTGCTGAAAAATTTCTCTTCCCATCAATACCTCTTGATATTTTATCTCCACCGAGGACAAAAATATTTTTTGGGGATGTGCTGTAATTTCAGTATATGATAAAGCAGTGATTCTAAGAGGACGGTACATTTAATAAATTCAATGGCTTTCCAAGTTCTTTAGTGCTTCAGATGTCACTGCGAAGAGCCTACTATGAAAGAGAAAATCTTAAATTCAACTTCATGTGAATATCAGTTGAATCCTCGCTATAATATTCTCCTGTTCATTCAAAGCTGGAGTAGAAGTCTGTGTTCTGGGGGAGGCATAGTAGAGAAGAAGGCTGCAGAGAAGGAAATGTCGAGGAGAAAAGAGAGACAGAGAGATGACAAGGAAAAGGGAGCCTTTTTTTCCTTCTTCCAAGAGCAAACTAAAGCAGTACTGACAATGGTGCTGGCCTGTGATGAAATGCGAGGAACAATCGCCTTCAGCGGCTGAATTCTTCAAGAATCACATTAACATTACAGTGCATACACTGTATGTTTGGCTTAACAGATGACTGCGGGTCATGCTCTGAGTAGTACACAACACATCTCAGACTGCCGCCCTAGTGTATGAAATCAGGGCTGAGGGGAAGGGTTATTATTGTATTTAAGACACAGAAGCACACAGGTTATTACTCGTGCCCGTATCATAACAAAAATATGTATCATATATCATATCAAAAATATCATAAAAAGTTGGTTTATGAAGAAGACGTTCACTTCCCAGAGAAAAGTAATCACTAAGCTCTTACCTGGAAAGTTCCACTAGGGCTGATGTCAAAGAATGCTTTCCTCCAGTTTGGTCCCTGATGACCGGACTTTGTCCATACCACAGTGTCCACAGCGGCAATGCTCCTCACTCTCAGAAGTACATTGAGTGTGCCTGTGAAAGATTTGCACACATCCAAATAGGCACACACCCGCGCAGACACAGCCACAGCCACACACAAATACAGATCATTAAGAAGTGTCAGTTGACTGTGGGTGTATCTGTAATTGGCCTAACAATCAAGTGAGTCCACCTCATTACCAACTGAAATAACTGGCCAACTAATGATAGACCTCACAGTACAAACAAAAAAAAGTAATGGATTGTTTAGTCACAAGAAGAAGGAAAGGTAATTGATTGTAACCAATGCCATAATAGCCAAGTAAAGAGTCTGCTTTGTTCTCACTGTCAAACTGTGTTAACTGTCATAAATTCACTTCCCCAAGCGTTAGCAAATATCCATCTGCTGTCCCATCATAAACACCACAAAATTTTGTTTTGTGCCAAAAAATCTAAAAAACAAAAATCTAAACGGCCGAACATACAATGTACAGAGTTTTTTCTCTGCCTAAAAAAGTAATAACATTTAATTGCATACAAAACTGTTCTAACAGTCTGAAGATTCCATTTGGCATGTTGATGACATTTAGGTTGAAATTTGATCTGTGAAATCGCTCATTAATTTGTGATATAACTTAGCATGCACTCAATGATGCAGCTACAGAGGGAGACAGTAGGATGGAAGCAGTAGCCAACGGGAGAAGAAAAGAAATCTATGACAAAATAATGGGTAGAACGTCTTCATTAACTTACTATGTGCACAGTACACACTTCCCTGTCATGTGAGGTGTAGATTTGAGAAAGACACCATGTGAGTCATGCAGTAGGGGTCTTAATAGGCTCCTTCTCTTGTCTCTATCTCTCTTAGCCCCCTAAGATGTGAGAGAATCATTCATCTTCTTAACGATCTCCAGCCAGCTCCTAATTGGAACATTAACCAACCAGCAGTCTCTTAAACAAATACACAAGCAGGGGGCATCTGTGAGCAATATGCCATTTTCATGCATGTGTGTGTATGTGTGCGAGCGCATATGGTTATGCGAGAGCACCTGTGGGATGTGGACATTTGTATGCATATTTGAACAAATTATTCTCTGCCATGCATAAGTGTCTAAAAGGAGATGTTCAGATTTTAAAAGTTGCAATAAAAATATTAAGGACGCTAAGGCACTGTAACACTTAAGGTGTAACTGGGGTAGCAACACTGTTCCAACAGCAACGAGGGACCTTTTCCACCATGTTGTGAGTGGGTGAAAAAGGCAGAACTGTCCATTCAGAATCTGCAGTAAACTCACATAAGATTTAAATACAGTCTTTAATTAGCTGACCCGATAAATTAAAAAAGGCACCAGAGCATATTGCTTCATCTTATTATAAAGGCGGAGAACACAATTCATCATCTCTAAGTAACTAGCTGTTCCACAGACATTATCAGTGTAAAAACTACCTGTTAAAGCATGCTGAGGAGAAATCAATGAGAGTTTTCAAAAACCCAAAAGACCCTTTACCAAAGGACTGTTTGAACTGGTGGTTGACAGGGTAGTGGATAGGCATTATTTGAATGCTCAAATAAGCATTTATGCTTGTCAAGAAAGATTAACACTTGTTATTGATGCCCTTAATTTTGGTTTTGCAATTGGACCTTGAATAGATGAAACCATAAATGTGTATTGTAGAAAACAAGTATAGAAACACTTTTAATAGCATTTGGGGCAGAGTCACTGATGTCTTAAGTCACCTTAATCACATTAGACTTGGTCCTTCTAACATAACTTTTCAATTCCATGGTGACCATTGTTATTGTAGTCATGGTTGTTTTTCAGCCACCGTAGCTTGTTAAACCGCAATAACAACCTGAACATGTTTTAAAGGTTGTTACACAGCATATGTGTTATATATATATTATTTATTTTTTTCAGTGTTTTTTATGACTATGTTTTTTACATTTAATGAAAATTAGTCAGTGACATGATTCATGCGTGACATCTGGGTATTTCTAAAGCCACAATAGTTATAGAACACAGACATTCAAAGGTAAATTTAGTTGCAGTCCACTTCCGTTTGCTCATCCACTCTCTCATTCTACCACCAAATATCTGAGCCTCATTGTTTATTTGCCCTCCCATCACCCATTTCATTTTTCTCCTCTTCGTACCATCTCCACCTACACTCACACACGCACGCGCACACACATGCACACGCACGTGTACGCACACACACACACACACACTCTTCTATATGCCCACACATACAACAAAGAAAAAGAAAAGAGGACTCTGATGAGCTGTGTATTGATTGGACAGAGGTATGGAGGAGTGTTGTTAAAGTGTCAGAGAGGCAGAGCCGGCACAGCTCTATCAGTGCCGCTGACCAATACAATCATAAGTGGAGAAGACAGCACAGACATGTCACACAGACGGGCTCACATTGCTATAGTCAAACTCAAATGAGATATTTTCTTTTGATTACTACAGGTATTCCTGCATCGGTTCTTATCCATTCCTATAAACACAGGCCTGTCCCCTGTGTATATCTCTGCTGCTGGTTAGCCTCAGAGCCAAAACTATTTGCTGAGGAGTGCAATCAAATCTGAGGATTTTGAAGTCTGTCGTTCTTTCCTCTATTTATTTCTCAGACACTTTGAAATATTCACATAGGAAAATTGTTTAAAGTTTCACTAAAAGAAATTGCTTACCAAACATTACACATCAAAAGCATTTTAAAGCCTTCAAACGCTGTTTTGTCAAGCTAATATGAAATAATCTAGTTATTATTCCTTATAGGAGTGTCAGTTGAACTCTGCAAGCCATTGCCAATCTAAAATACTTCCCACTGTCAAACAAAACTAATTAAATGTTGTTTATTATTGCTGCCGGGGAGCTCAAAGAGAGACATATTAGCTTGAACAGCACAGCACATAACCTGTGGAAGGCATTATCTGCAAAAGAGGCCAGACAAAGACATTAATGCCGTCTTTCCTCGATTTGCTCAATTAAAAGACATTTCTGCCTTATTTTTATTCCAAATCCCGAGGATGGTAAAACAGTAAACTTATATGTGGGTCACAAAACATTCGAAGAGCATTTCTGAAAATTATGTAATTAAAAAGTTTAGTATAACTTTGAAAATAAAGGTCCTTTTTTTTACTCAATGGTTTCATATCAAGCGGAATAAATAAAATTGGTACTTGAACATTGTCCCAGTACTGCTCAACGCCAACAAGTGTAATTTTCATCTACTTTTTGTGAGTCTTTCACCGTTGCCTCTGGCCTTAGTCTAATCCTTAAGCATGTTAATATTTTAAGCTGCACCTTCAGCCTCCTCTCACTCCTCTCTTGTCATCACGCCTTTCTCTGACCCTTTCAATCTTACCCTCATCTTGTCTCTTTTTGTCATTAAATCACACTATGGCACCCTCCCAAGAGAGTTTGCTCTGCTAGGTTAAGGCAATCAAAGTATCAGACATAGAAACGGATGGGGAGGACAACATTGAAAATTGAGGGAGGAAATTTTGTGAATCTCCTTCCCTCTTGGGCTCATGGTTATTTTACTTCCTTTCCTTTGTCTGTTTCCTGCCCATGTTGTTGCCAGCTCTGCCCTATTTCAGTCCCCTTGAGCCTCATTACCCTTCTTTAGTGTACTCAGACAGTCTGCATGGTCCGTACAATCTGTGCTTCTGCCATATCCTTTATGCTATTATCATCCTTAATTTTTTCTAACATCTAAACCTTTTCGGTGAGTTTATCTCCTTTCATTTCTATCAAGGCTAACAGTGCCACATACCAGAATTTGATTAGTGTAGTATGCTTACACCATCTTTCGATGGTTCTCTTTTTATACGGGACATTGCCATGAAAAACCTCTTAACTTATGTAATCACTTATTCGTATACATATTGATCTCATGGGTAATGTAAAAACTGTAAGTTAGATCTACAAATGCTTTACGGTTGTGATAATGCCCCTTTGAGCTTAAAACAACAACATTTAAATCTATTTTTATTTTTTATTTTTTCAAAACATGTCCATATCCACTACTAAACTATAAATAAAAAAATACATTTTTTTAATGGCTAAGTGATATACCAATGCTATGAAAAAGATTAATTTTTTAAATTAAAAAAAACACACTAAAAAATGAAAAATAGTCACATTAGCATGATGTCAGGGTAGTTTGTGCAAATTTTTGCGTGGGTTCATTACAGAAGCTGTGTATTGATCCTATTATTCATTCATTATCAAAACATCATCATGTCTTAATTCACACAAACAGACCAAAGTATGGACATTTAGACTAGCCATTATGTAATCTAGGTTTAAAGTTTTATCATACGCTTTCATTTTTCTCTTTTTAGATGAAAGGGAATCCACATCTGTGTCTATGTTTGTACATTAGGGTTTGTGCGAGAATGTGTGCACAGGTGTGTTTGTTCCAAGATGTATGCATTCTAGTCATGTGACTGAGCATATGATGATGAACAGCTCCGCAAAATGACTGATTGTCTCTTGCCCCTACCATAAATCATAGAGCCAGTGCCCCCTTCAACCACCTCCCAACACACAAATGTAGAAACACAGAGACACAGGCAGAAACAAACAGAGAGAAAATTTCTTACACCCTGACCCACATCCCTTTTTCTAAACACACACACCATCCACAGTGATGTATCTGACAAGCTCTACATGCAAGGGTCAAGCACAGAGTCCAGACCTTGACAGAAAATCCTGATAGCATTGAGTGTCAGCACACTCTCCACTGTGCTACTATGAATCCTTTTGTATGGTATAAGATTGGGGATTGTGCGTGTATGAGCATCTCTCTACATCTTACCAATGTGTTTACCCTTCATGTGATAGTAGAAGGAGACGCAGTATTGCTCTCGACCGGAGCCCTTGGGGCCTTTGGTGAAAGAGGCATTGTAAACTGGAGACAGAAGTCGAGCCTTGTCCCCTGGAGCACGTGGTCGTGATGCTTCAATGTACATGTAGTACCCTGCAATCAACCACAAAACAGAAAATGACTGTACTGATAAACTAACAGACATCAAAGAGATCTGATCAATTTTAATGGAATAAAAGCAACTTGAATGATATGCCCCTTTTAATAATATATTGTTAACCAGTTCAAAAGCATTTGGAAAGATTTACACAGTTATAAAATACAATTATCAATATCATCTCCAGTATCTGCCAGGTCCAATAAGAGATGGAAAAACAAAAACGTTTTAATTGCATATTCGCCAGATTTTAAATCAAAATTAAAGCATCAGTCCTGATGCAATGATTCTGGCATTTCCTCACCCTCCTTTGTTCCACTACGGTCCGTCTCAGGGCCAGTGTTGGCAGATCGCTTTGGATTATTCGTCAGGTTGTTCTGTCTTGTCCAGTCAAAGACGTCATTCTGGTCTTGGGAGAAACCGCAGATCCGATCATCCTCAAAGCCACACACATGCTCTGAGGTGTGTGTGTGCATAAAAAACGACAAAGAATGACACGTTTAAACCAAAAGTTTGGTAGGTGGCATTATAAGCTGGAGGTGAAAACTTTTCTTCCTCCTATCTCCAGAAGCATACAGGTACAAACCAAATAAATGTATATATTGTGTGGTATGTTCTCCCAGCCAGCCTGGCAATTACAGACAAAATGATAGAGACAGTCTGGGGGACCGGGTATATTTTGATATTTTGATATCTAATTCTCAAAAGTATAAAATTAGGAAGACCTCCATGATGGGGCGGGCTATATGTAAAGTAGATGGCAGTCATGATGGAGCCCTATTTTATACTTCCTGTCTTTTATTTTGGTTGTTAGATTTCTTTTATTCTTCTGTGTAATCTCAAGAATGGAGATGTCCTTTAAATCATTTACTGACAAATCGGATGCTGTCTGCTGTGTAGGCATTCTACAGAAGAAAAAAAACAACCTACTCACTAAACCTGTCTAATAAAATCAAAATAATAAAATGCATTTTTAGTATTATTCTGGACTGTCTAAGATGCAAGATGACAGTGGGCAGTGTTGTGAAACATGTAGTTGTCAACGTAATACTGAGTTTTTAAATCACAGTGCGAGACAAAGCTGATGCTTCAATGGTCCAGTTTCTAATTAGGATATCAAGACCAGATTTTTGGCAAACAGTGTTACAGAGAGACTGTGGGATGAAAAATCAGATTTTTTACAGCCTGATTGCTTGCACCCTCCATTGCAATAAAAAAGACACTCGAAGAGATCTGAACAACATCCAGTTAAGGAGAAAAACTACCAAACTACACACAGACAGAATTTGTGCATTGGCCGATATAAAAGTTAAATTCTTAAAAACAGGAGCTCGGAGGAATGACGTTGATATTATGCCTCTCCTCTCACTTCTATTGTCTATTTCTGTAAGGGAGCCACGGTTCACCACACAGTCATCGCACAATCTGACATGCCTCTAATTGAGCTCACACAATGTGACACGGATTCAGACCAAGATTTTATCACCCCCTTCTTGCAGTCTGACGTGAAATACACTTACACAATTGTTGTTGCACAGTTGAGGGGAGCCTTTATTAGTCTTAGGAAGAATTAACACAACCAACAGGGCTTATCTGTCCAGTTTGGACTGATGAGCAAATGTCTATCGTTTTCCCCACCGACTGCTTCAGCTGAAATATGACATCCTCTCAGCATGCAGCATAATTCTGACGAGGAAATGGGAACTGTAATGAGGTGTGTTTTCGCTGGATTTGTATTTGTCTGTGGTATTTGGAATCCCTTTTATGTCTTTCCATTCATGTTTTTTCTTCTTGAATCACAGCGTACATCATTAAGGGGCAAAAAAAAAAATGTTTTGTCGTTCTTAATGTTGATGTCTCTTGTTAAGCAAGATAAAGGGCTCCTCTCCATGGTGTTGTCACTTTCATTAGCCCATCTGGAGGGCTCTGCCATTATCAGAGGCTCACTTAACAAGGAGTACAACAACCATCTAAAACCGTCCAAAGCTGACAGCCTCTGTGTGAGCATCCCGGACACACACAGTTTCACACACACTCACAGTCTGCTGAAGATGTGCGTGGCTCATGCTCCCCATGAGGATGGCTCTTTGTTTCAGGGAGCTAATCTATTACTATTCACACCCTTCTCCACTACATGTGCTTCTTTCAATTTACACTGTTGTTCTCGCAGTCTGTTCCAATCTGCTGTTGTTTTAATTGCCTCACCCTGGCAGAGCCAACTGCCACTCTTGCCAGAAAAATACAGCATGTCTCTTAATGAAGAAAACAGACAAGATTCATCTGACAGAAAAAGAGAGAGAGGGGCAAGAGAGAAGATGAAAGGCAGGACAATAAGAAACGTGCAAAATGGCACCAGAAGGAGACATAAAAAGCACAACTTAAAAAAAAAAAATTTAAAGAAACTTTTCACGAACTGTATCACGAAAGTAATTTGCGTCTAAAAAAAAAAATCACACAATATTTTTATAGTATTTAAAACTCTTAAATCATCCAGTGGCCTTATCACATACTGGATTCTTTCAAACCTAACTTGATCTTAGAATAGATTAAAAAATGCACCAAGGCTGATAAAATAAGTACACTTAGCCCTTGAAAATCTCTGTTAATATATAATGATCCATTAAACATTATAATAACCCATCAAATACAAGTGCACTTTCCCCATCCTGTCAAATGTGCTCTGAGCTGTCACGGCAGGGTCAGCTGAATGTGTCCTAGACTGTCCAGGACCTGAACCAGGCCCTAAGGAAAGAATTCTTGGGGTTCTGTAGGTTTCGGGGAGGGCCAGATCTCATCACATTATTGTCTTATGAATTTAAAGGACAGGAGAATGTCTCGGGCTCTTTGACATGCTTTTTTAGCCCTTTGTCGGCTGTATTTGTAAGGCCCAGTGGTGTCCCCCAGAGGGCTGTTCATAAGGGAAGTGGTTTGCTATACAGTATATACAGTAGCTGTGGAGGTCTGTAGAAATGTCAAAGTGAAACCCATGTGAATCCAATGATTCATGTATGTGTTATAAAAGGATCAAGAAGAAATGTGTCACACACTTTACCTGTGAGTGGTCATAATGTCACGGCTCATCATTGTGATTTTCAGCAAAAAATGTTTTTAACTTTACCCCCCTGTTAACACAATCCAGGTTGAAAATGTAAAAATGTGGATAAAGGGTGTCGATGGGAGATCAGTCTCACCTGAAGATCCTGGGTAGGTGTAAGCTGCAAGAAAATTCAAATAATTTAGTTCACATTTCATAGAACCCTTTGATTTATCTGTGGTCATCTGTGTCAAGTGCAACAACTAAAACCACCAACTTTGCAGAGACTAACACAGTTTCCTTAGCAGAGCCTTACGTTCTGAGTACTGGATGATTCGACTGACATAGTCCCCGGTGCTGTAGGTGGTGATGGGAGCCAGTCGCACCTCGTAGGACAGAGGGATTCTCAGGTCGGAAATTGTATGGGAAATCAACACCCCTTTCTGTGGCTCCTTACCCCTCAGGTCTATCTGCTTTGACATCATGTTCTGCATGTGGAAACACAAAAAAGTATTGAATAGAGTCATATTTATGAAAATGTATGCTCATGTGGAAATATCTGTCAGGCATATTTATTCGGTGCCCAATATCCCGCCCACAATTCATTACATAATTTACTATTAGGATTCGGATCAATACTAGTCATAGGCAGTGGTGTAATGGTGTTTCAGAGAGGTATTTATATTTTATTTATTGAAGGACCAAATCTTATTAAGAGGGCCCCATGTTATAATTAGTGACATGTTAAAATATTCTTAATATATTTATATCTCTCAAAAATAAGTAATTTTATGTTAACACTTAGTTGGCAGATAACATTCATCAAGGACATTTACATTAATGCATATAGCAGATTAAGGACTTATGAGTGACAATCGAGTAAACAATTATACCATCAGGAGCACACACTGCCTTTCTAGGAGTTTGAATAAGATTTTTAACTATAAAAATCAAAGGCGATGCATTATACTGAACCAAAAAGAAGAGGTAAACCACAGACAACTAATTTTCTTGTCATTTTAAATCAGGATTGGGAGCCACCCAACTCTTCTTCTTGGTTTAATTTGTTGATCTGACCTAAACCTGAAACTGAACCCAAATGTCCTACCCAAATTTCTAGAATTAGCTGGAAAAGCATAATGAGAGCTATGGCCACCTTAGGAAGGAAAGGCTTAGTGTTAATTTGGTTATGCTTGACATTGTAAAAATAACTTAAGCTCCTAGCATTTACCTTTTTTTTCTTTCAGCAACGTAAGAAAGCAACCATTATTACTTGATTATCAAATTATTGTGCCTACACAGTGTAAGTACAATATTATGGTTAGAATAAAGTGGATATAACCACAGCCTCCACTTCCAGTTATTCAGCCATACTAGGCTTACGCGGGAAACTTGTCTTGAATTGCAAGTTTTCCTTCCATTTTCATTTATTAGAACAAAGCCGTCCTGTTCAGTAATTAAATACTTTGGAGACTAGCACTGGCACCATTACTTTGGAGCTTTCCCATACCAAATTCTGTTTTAACAAAATGCATACCAGTCCAGTTTCAGTGCACCCAGCAAGTTATGTGATTTCCCTCAGCGATGCTGTGACAAAGACTCAATAACCATTACTTGAGTCGTAGTAATAGAATGAGATATAAATTTGTCGTTCTTTCCCTCTTAAGTCATTTATGTTTTTCAGCAAGCACAAACCGAATCACACAACCTTGATTTAATTAAATAGGACATTCATCGTAAGAATGACAATGTAAAATGATTATGATGTTTTGCAAGAACAGTTGTCGCTCTCTTTTTTAAGTCAGGCTTTTTTTCCCTGTGAGCATCCCATTTAATGGGGCTATTGCTATATTATTCCACCCACGGAGAAAAGGTTCCATTAGCTGTGTATCTGCTTCTGATCCCAGCTACTTAAAGACCTGACAGTGAACTCAATCTGATGCATTAGGTCAGCCACTTCACCATAACAACTTAGTACACCCACGGCATGCCATTATCAGGTAACTCATAAAGTACAGCTCTGTGTGTACACACTATGTGGGATTGTGTGTTTATGGGGAAAGGTAGGGTTGTGGATTTATATGGCCTACTGTACATATTTTCCATTAATTTGGTTTTTGCATTAATAAGTGCCGTGAAACACAATAAGTCAACAAGTGCAATAAAAGCAAAATGGGCATGCTCACTTTTTATCCAGCTCTTCTATCAATATGTTATATGAGGTCAAAAATCCACTAAGGGTACCGGCGGTCAAATAGGTAATAGGCCCAATTTAGTTGGTAATGCTAAGTGTTGAAGGCCCCTTGATGTTGTACCAGGTAAACTGTTCTTACTGACTCCAAAAGTTCCAATGTGAGCAAGAAAGCAAGATTTTATCAACTGCAAGTATTTTTGGTGGATACAGGGCAGTCATGCAAGTACACAGACATTTGTTAACATCAC